AAGAACACTTTACATAGAGAAAAAAATGTTTCCAACCCCGGGCAAGGGTGAAAACCACCCTTAATAATCTATTTTTCCAATTATCTCAAAAAGTATACGAGATACGGAAAAAAACTTCAAATGAAAATTGTAGATCTTTTTGAAATCTACAAAACATTCCACCCTCTTGCCCCTATTTTCAATAGGGGAGCCAATAATCGAAGTCAAAGATAACTTTTTTAACTAACTTTAACTTTTTAAGTATTGAATCTTTGACTTCGATTATTGGCTCCCCTATTGAAAATAGGGGCAAGAGGGTGGAATAATGTTTTGTAGATTTCAAAAAGATCTACAATTTTCATTTGAAGTTTTTTTCCGTATCTCGTATACTTTTTGAGATAATTGGAAAAATAGATTATTAAGGGTGGTTTTCACCCTTGCCCGGGGTTGGAAACATTTTTTTCTCTATGTAAAGTGTTCTTTACTATCTTAAGAAACTTTTTAGCATAGTTCCAGCTGTTTGAGGAAAAACGGATTTCGCGACAATACTGACTGGACTAATTTCATAATCTTTCAATCTAGCCTATATCTAAAAACTAACCTAAAAACATTGATTTTTTTCGAAAAAAAAATGATCGGGTTTTTAAGCATAGCTCCTTCATTTTAGGTGATAGAATTTTTTTTTCAGAAACGATTTTGTAGAGCTTTTCAGGAGCTATAAAACTATGTGAATTAAATTACTTAATATCCCTTAATTTTTAAATGGGGAGTGTTTAAAGCGCGCTTGAAATGAATAAGGTGAATATTCACTGTACAAAAAATATCAACACAGGGAAATTTTTGTCATTAAAAAAGCTACAATTTAGTATTACTACAACATAACATACTTTTACTGTTAGAGGCACTATTTGACACACTATATAAACATATAGAATTGATAACGAGAAATGTTCATTTTCTATGAGAACTATTATGGGTACGCCAGGTTGACGCCAGCTAAGAATGTTTAGTTCAATATCTTTGGTTCTTTAAGAGTATTGATTATGAAATTTTGTAAAGCCAGGGCACTATTTGCGATCTATTTTTGTGTGTCAATTTCGTTGATTAAATATATGCCGTTCTTGGGGACGGCCATGGGTACGCTAGCTTGCCGTCATGCTAGCGTACACAGTAAAAATGGTCTTTATTTCTTAAATTAAAGAGGCACAATATTTTTATTTTCACACTTATTTGGCACTATTTACGCAGTATTTAATGGCATAACGAAAAACCGTATATTGATCGTGAGTACGCTACCATCACGGACACGTTTGTACGAAACCGTCACCATGGCAGTCCGCATACAAGACCAGACTACGAGACCTATCCAACTACAGCGAGGAGTCTTTAAGCTTTAGGGTTGTAGCGGACGTAGCATCAACATCAACGGCGAGTAAATTACTCACCATCAATTTGCCGATGATAATTATAATCATATTGGCAGACACTTTGGAGATGTCAATACAACGCTCAATGACCTCAGCCAAGCCTTTCAACAGGTGTGCCTTAAAATTAACATGAGTAAGACGAAAACCATGTCTAACGCTCATGTTCTGCTCCACCCGGTAACCATGGAAAACTCTACACTCGAAATTGTTGACAAATACAGGGTGGTCCAACTAGTGACGTGAACAATTTTTTTTAGATTTCTCGCACTTGGGGGAATCCGAAAATACCCCATGTTTGTTAGTAGGTATTTTAGAGTCTTTTTTTTGTGATATAATTGTCTAGAATTTTGTTTTTTATAAAAAAACTCAGCTTCCTTCAATTACTTAAAGTTACTCAAAAAAGGCTTGAAAGTTGGAACTTTAGTTATAAGTAGCATTTATTGAAACATTCAACTTCAATTTAGAAGTACAAAAAGGAGTTTTCAAAGGTTCTCGCTAAAATTCAAAACTCCGCATGCTTCTAAACTACCAAAAATCATACTAGTTACTATGAAAAAAGATGAAAAATTTTGAAACCTCGCTGGCAGAAATCATTAAAAATACACAAAAAAATAATAACTCGAAAACTAAGAAAAATCGCGGAACATACATGGGGTATTTTCGGATACCCACAGGTGCGAGGCATCTAAAAAAATTTCTTGACGTCACTAGTTGGACCATCCTGTGTATCTATATGTAACCGGCCAAACCCGATTTCAGGACAAACTAGTTTTGCCTAGGCTAAACTAGGTCTTCCTATACGTGATAGGATTAACTAGTATAGCCTCGTCCAAACTAATTTGTCCTAAGCGCAATAGGATAAACCAGTTTAGCCTAGGCCAAACTAGTTGATCCTGATATAAGTACGCATACTCTAGGATAAACTAGTATGGCCTAGTCCAATCATTATATTATATCTAGAAAGTCAAAGTAAATAGATAAAGTGAATAAAATTGTCCGCAATACCTCAGTGCCTGAAGAGCGAGGTCTTCGAACAGTGCCGGTTGCCAGTGATTTCATACGAAGCCGAGACGTCGTTGTTTACAATGGGCCTCGTAAGGTTTGCGAGTCGCACAGCTAGCGATGGAGAGAGCTAAGTTCGATTTTTCTCTACGTAATCGAATCAGAAATGAGGAAATCCATAAAAGAGCTCGAGTAACCGACATAACGGATTGCCACGCTGAAGTTGCAATGGTCAGGGCACATTGTTCGGCGAATCGATGGAGGTTGGGGTCCTAAGGTGCTACAATGGCGAATTGGCACCGGGAAGCGCAGTGTCGGTAGACCCCTCACCAGTAGGACTGACGTCATCAAGCGAGACGGGGGAATCCACTGGATGCGGAAAGCTCAGAATCGTTGTGTTTAGAGATCCCTGGAGGAGGCCTATGTCCAGCAGTGGACCTCCATCGGCTGATTATGATATGATGATTATTATACAAAGACTCTTTTTCTATTTTCATAACCAGAACCCACTTATCGAGTATGGTCTCCTGGTAATTTTTCCAGAATAAAGATTCTATAAATGTAGATTTGTTACTAGGAAGACGACAAAGGAATAAAAATATTTTCGGTGTTTCCATTGGTCAATGGATTACACGAATTAATGTTCTTTTCCGTCTTCCCATCAATGGGTCAAAAGTAGCGTTCTGCGTTAGTATCCGTAGTCTACCCAGGTGAACCAAGGGTCATAAAAGTACCATTAGTCCACCCAGGTGAACCAAGGGTCATAAAAGTACCATTAGTCCACCCAGGTGAACGATCAGAATAAGTCTCCGAAGTCCACCCAGGTGAACATGTTAGTGCAATAAACAGACGTTACAGGAATGCATCAGTCGCCAGCTGAATTTTATATTTATAATGTAAGTTGAAAATTTTAGTGTATTAATCATTGGCAGCTTGTATCCGATACAAGGTTTTATGACTGCTGTAACAGCTATCTTCGCGTTTGGACTTTAAGTCATTTGGCTATCTGGCTATATATAAACAAGTATCCACGTTTGAACAGCACCTCATAGGCCAGAAAACTCAATATTGAGCAAACTATTTAATATATTTAACAACGGATATATTGATAATATCCTCATTCAATTTCCATTTTAGCTATTCTATGACACCCACTACCGAGCATAAACTAATAGACTCCATTGATCCTTTAATTAAGTACTATAATTCCTATTATCAATGTTTGTTTAGCTTAATAAATAAATGCTACTTTGATACATTTACTCCACTACTTTCTAAAGAAGGTTTCAGGAATAAAACAACAATATTTTATGAAGCAATTTATTGAATTAATACTTACCAGTAAGAAGCACGCAGTATGATATAAATATATACTCATTTATATATTTTGTACTTGGCATAATATTGTTTGAAGGATTGAAAATTTCAACAAGGAGCCACATGCTAGGAGTAGGAATTTCGGGTAAGATAATGTTTACTTGAAACTTTAGGAAAAGGTGTTTTAAGTGAGACTGAAAGAATAAACGTGACGATAATCGCGTAATTATCACTACAATTAAGTTACTTATTGACGTAAGCTCTAGTGGTGAATAAATTGAATTTTAAATACTTCTCTGATAGAGTATTTTTGACAAGTTTTAGATAAAGATCTGACGATATTAACTAATGTTTATAGAGTCCATAAAAAGTGGATATTCATCATTCTGTTGCGTAATTCTGTAAAAAATCTAAACCAAAAATACGATTTTAAAGTTGCCGCGTAAACACTGCTATGTGGCCGTCACACGATTGTCATTAAAACGTCAAACCATACAATGTAATGTCACTTTAACCTGAAGTTTACTAGCGTGTGACGTCATTTTAGTCTTCGCCAATCCTAGGCGTTTTCGGTCACTTGATCATAGAACAAAAAAATCGTTTCTATTTTTTTTTTTTTTAGTAAAGTTATTAATTACTTTTTATACCCTGAACAGCAAAATCGTTGCTAATATTCATATTAAATACAGATGCTAACAATTGGTACTCTATTTTTCATACTGTCAAATGGCCATTCTAAATATACAGGGTGTTACAAAAATACAAATAAAGCTTGAAGAGCGTTGAAGTTCATCGTATAAGAAGTCTTCTCTAATTTTCTTAAAATATTTGCATGAAGTTTTAACTTTTTATAAAAACAGTTATTTTTAATGATCCTTGAACTACTGACGTGTCTTAAAATGATCAATATTTTTATTAATCATTAAAAATAACTGTTTTTATAAAAAGTTAAAACTTCATGCAAATATTTTAAGAAAATTAGAGAAGACTTCTTATATGATGTACTTCAACGCCCTTCAAGCTTTATTTGTATTTTTGTAACACCCTGTATATTCCATTTCTAGATACTACTACGATTGCTATGGAACCTAATCTACACTAGGTATCTCACTCGCGAAACTTACCGCAATCCCGGGGGCGTGTCCGTCCAAAGGTGATGTTCGCAAAAGAAAACCAAAATATATGTTCTCCGACACTGTGTCAAGATTTATTCGCAAAATCCATCATACACAGCAGTCTGAGCGTTTGTCTTAGCCTATGGGTACAGTAGTTAGTCTATTTGTCGTCGTCCTTAAAGACCATGGTGCTGTGGCACTTGCCGCAGTAGTGACGGTCCTCCATGACGGCCATGAAGACTCCGGCCCCGCACTGTTCCCCGGTACATTCGCGCCTCAAACGGTGGATCTTACCGTTCTCGTCGACCTGCGATGGAGATAATTTCGATGTATAAAATTTTTCGGTGTTATGATTTTTATTTTTAAAGCATGTGTTCATAAGTGGCTCCATCTAGCGAGCGGGCGTAACGACGCGCGAACAAAGGCGTGCTTCATCTGGCAACAATCGCTCACCATTAGGAGCAGGTATCGCTGAAAGGGACGAGATGGCGCTGTATATCAATATAAAAGACGGACAGCAGAGCTCTTCTTGGCCAGGAAGACCTCAACTTCACCTTTCTTTAATATTAGACTTATATGTAAAACATCTAGCAGTTAAATGCTTAAAAAATAAATAAAATCATAGACTTATATATATTCAAAATTATGTGCTTTATTTCCTTCAACGAACAAATATACAATTTATTAGAGAAGTCGCTTTATTTCCTCAAACAATGTCAAGCATGTAACTGCTCGATGTTAAAATGTAAAGAAAATATTACTAGAAAAAAATTCTAAGAAATTTCTAAATGAAAATTATAACTAAAATTGCTGTTTCTTCTTTCAAATGCTTAATACTTGTAAAGGTATTCATTTGACATTGTGGATTATCTACAATGCGAAGAGATGGCGCTGCCTTGCAGCTTTAGGAAGGCCAGAAAGAATTCGACACGGCCATCAGGGCCGCGGTAGCATAATTGGTCAGTGCATTCGCCCGGATAGCGAAGTGTGCAGGTCCGAGTCCCGTCTCCTGTCTGGTCCGCATGGATTTTTTTCTAGTAATATTTTATTTAGATTTTTTGGGGTGTTAAAAACGAATCGCGGTGATTCTGCCTCCTGTAGCATGAGCACCACAATTTAAATTTTATCGCGTCTAACTGTCAAACTCCATAGTAATTTGACAATTAGGGTCCGCAATGATTTTAGTTGAGCATGCAGATTAATAGAGCAAAGGATTCCATAAAATACAGTCGTAAAAATTTTATTCTACAACAAATATTGACGAACGGGCGCGAATACTGTACCCTTAGCACGAACCAGAATCGAATTCGTAACGTTTGCGTGTCCGAAATGTCATTGTCACATCTGTACTGATTTTTAGTTCTCGTTACATACTTTGTGCCGCTGCTGTTCAAGTTTCCATAGAAAATTTGACATTGACATTTCGGTTTGCAAACTATTCGAATTCGATAATGGTTTGTGCTAGGGGTACTGGAGTTCGACCGGAGTGAACCACGATGAAGCTCTGCGAAGTCACAAGTTTCGTGAATATTGGATACCATAAAATTAATAATAAAATCGCAGTGAATGAACCGATTTCGATAATTAAAAAAGTATATATATTAAAAAGCTTATTAAATCATTATACTGTTGATTTTAAGCTCATTGAGCTTCATAAAAACGTGTTATATATCATATCGCGGTGCTCATGCTAGGGGAGGGGGCTGTAGTGCTATTTCGTAAGAACAAACTTACTTTTCACTGCAGTATTTGCCTTTGTGATTTGAAGTTCCTGCTCTAATTTTTAATCACACAGCAGTTCCGAAGTTAAAAATTGAGTTTGTTGTTACAGAATATCACTGCTGTTGAAGTCAATACAAGTTTTAATAGAGTGTATATCTAAACTAATATGACAGTGGAAAGATTTGTGAACGAATGTTTGTAATGCAATGAATAAACTCTAAAACTACAGGACTGATTTCAAAAACTCCTTCAACTTTAAAATGCTAGTTTAATCTCTGAGTAACATAGGCTATATTACATAGCGTTCAAATAAAGTTCGAATTGTTATTCAGTCAAAACAGTGGTAGGTACATTGCTATTGATTTTTTTAAGTCTTATTCTCTTAGCCTTATTCTCAATATATTAAGATCAATAAATAGTTGCGAGATTGGCAATGACCTCCTTTAGAAATCGGTGACCATTCTCCAGTCTTATTTTTTGTGTGTAAGCACATATAACTAGGGCTGCCATCTCTAAAATGTGGCAACCAGGATAAGACGCGTGATAACCCCGGATTTTGAAGCCCAAAACCCGGACAGACCAATATAAAAACAGTTAAAAATGTCACAAATCAACTTTTTTATGTTGATCTAGGCAAAAGAGCTAGCGGTCTACCTCATAATAAGTGGTCACTGTTGCCCATGGACACTTGCAGCACCAAGGGCCACTCATGCGTTGCCGTAACCCGGACTACAAATAAAACCCCGCCCGGACGCCCCGTAAACTAGGACAAATCCGGGGAAACCCGGACGGATGGCAGCCCTACATATAACATACACACATGGACCTACATGTGTGTATGTTATAGTATGTAAAATTGTACAGGAAAAAAAATTTAAGTTACCAAACCTCAAGCAGGAACTAACTGGATTCAAAGAAAGTTATTTTCAAAATAAAAGGCCTGTTTGAACAGATGATAATGATTTGAAACCGGACATATGAATGGTGAGACAAGTCGCGACTGGCTCGCATGACTAATATGTTAACGGCGGAATTCATGCTAATTCGTATTGTTTATATTTGTAAAGGACGATCTTTATAGCATTATCTCTACAGTAGTTATTAAAAAAAAAAAACATGTATAGAAAAACGTTGTAACAACATTGTGGCATGTTAAATTTAAAAAGGACAAATAAAGGGCGCCTCAACATTGCATAGCTACCTTTTTTTTCTGAGATGAGTGTAACTGTATCGCTATGGGTATAATCCTATGTTACGTAAGGGGGCTCAGTTACACGGTTACCAATTTAGGGGTTTTGCCCCCAGATTTAGGGGCTAGAAGTGTTAAAACGGACTTTTTTTAGGGGCTGGAATTTTTTGGGGGTTCTTTTAGGGGCTTTTATCAAAACTTGCAATTAAATCGAAAAACAAAGCATGTTTTCTTTCAGTTTTATGCGACTGAACTGACTGTGTGGTGGGTTGTTTCCTAAGACTGTATGGATTAGTCCATACAGTAAAAAAACAGGTAGGTAAATAAGATTTAACAGCCTGTCAGCTCATTTCGTTTGATTGTCCTTTCGGAAACTGTATATATTCAATAAAATAATTTACTGTAACTAAATATGTAACGTTTTAATTTATGAGCAACGAAAGAATTTGGGTAATAAGTAGGTACTTAAAAAATTGTATATTTAGGGGATTTTAAAAAATATTTAGGGGAAAAGTTTGGTAAGGGTTGGTAACACTGTCAGTAGAAAGGAGGGGTTTCCTTTTCAAACTACAATTGCAGTGATAGTCTCAGAGGCCAGTCTTCAAATAGGTGAACGAAAGTTAATAGAATTATGAGCCTAGAGCAGCTAGAAATGGTATACACCATTAGCTTTAAGCCAGCACCTTAGTTGGTTATTCATATTTGCTATTTGTAAACCTGTCAACTTCCTTATTATGCTATATGGGAATGGCAAGGGACAGACTGATATCAAGTTTACAAATAAAAAAAGGCTATTTGTGCCAATTGCAGCCGGCATTATGCATTGCATAAACTGACCTTGTAGAACCTGAGCACGGCTAGTTTGACCTTCTTCTTCTTGTGCTTGATCTTCTTGGGAGTGGAGTAATTCTTCTTCTTGCGCTTCTTGGCGCCTCCTCGTAGCCGCAGCACTAGATGGAGAGTGGACTCCTTCTGGATGTTGTAGTCCGAGAGGGTGCGGCCATCTTCCAGCTGCTTGCCAGCGAAGATCAACCTGGACGACAAACAGTTGGTAATATATGCCCCACTGCTGGGGCACAGGCCTCCCCAATAGATAGAAAAGGAAGATTGGGCCATGACCCACCACAGGGCCCAGTGCGGATTGGTGGGTGCTAACGACAGCAGATGCAGCTAGAACCAACTACCTAACGTGCCTTTCGCATCGCAGCCGAATGCGCTAACCACTTGCGCCATCGTGGTAATTACTTGCAAAGAGTATATGGCGTAATGGTGGCCACTCACCATCCTGCCTGCCTGGGCGACATTTTGGAGGGACATGCAACTTGACACAAGCATTTTGGCTAGATCAAGGCTCTTTGGTCTAATGGCGATGATGGTGAGACCAGTAGCAGCAGCAGATAGCAACCAGCGGGTATTTTTGAAGCAAGCTAAAATTTCTTTTTTTACAAGCAATGTCAAAGTTTGATCCCCAAAATGACCAATGGCCAGTTTCTGCTTTCACAATCATACTTTAACAGTGGTAAAAAAATTTTGCTAGCTTCAAAAATAGCCAATTGTTGGTTTTTGCTTAACACCGTTCAAATATTATGCATAATTTCACAGCATGTTGGCAGTTTAAAAGATGTGATACCATTACTGAGAAACATGTGTAAATGAAATAATAATAAAAAAACAATTTCATAGACATCTCTATTGATATGTTTTAGTCTATAAGTTTGAGATTCAATAGAAGAAAGCTAGGTGTTTATTTCTCTCTCACTCAAGTCTCCCTTGTCTGTTGATAATATTTTACTGAGATTTTCAATAGAGAATTAGAAATTAAAATTGAATCAACCATGACAAGGAAATGTATTTTGTTAATATAACTCAAAAAGGCAAATTACCTCTGCTGATCAGGGGGGATCCCCTCTTTATCTTGAATTTTAGCTTTGACATTTTCGATGGTGTCCGAGGGCTCGACCTCAAGGGTGATGGTCTTGCCCGTTAGGGTCTTTACGAAGATCTGCATCTTGAATTACCTGAAAATCATTGTTACTTCCTAAAATACTTTTTCTACTATAATTAATAGGTAGTTCATAGCTATAAACTACTCAACTACTTCTGTTTATTTGATATCTCAAAAAGGCAAACTTCTCAAAAAGGCAAACTTATTTTGCCAAATAAATTTTTTCAGGTCTTTTGAATAAAAAGAAGATAATTATTTAAAATGTACCTCACTGATGCCATATTAGTAAAGGAATTGAAAAAATATATAGATATCATCTCTTGTTATTATACATACATCATATACTTAAATTGAATATTTAAGATTCTTGTGTCACGGTGTGCGTAATTGAACTACTCCGAAACGGCTTGACCAATTTTTGTGAAATCTTATATGCATATTCAGTAGGTCTGAGAATTAGACAACATCTATTTTCCATTCCCCTAAATGTTAACCCTTCTACCACCAACCCCTATTTTTTATAGCGGTACGAAGTTCGCTGGGAAAGCTAGAAAGATATATAAAATCTAATAAATATAAACAATGACTATTATGATGACAAGTGTATTGCAAAAGAATGTGTAATAACAAGAGATACAAGTAGGGTTGCCAACCCTTCTATATATACATATAATATACTATCCCACTATATTGGAAGATCAAATACTAAAAATAATTTAAAGTAGGTAGTATAATTTAAATAAAAATCTAATGATTAAGGCAAAGAGCAGCAAAAGTATATTCATTTAAGAATAAAGTAAATATTTTAACCACTTTCTGTATTTCTTTACATTTTTTGCCATTACTATATTTATAGATGTACAAGGGCGGATCCAGGGGGGGGGGGAGGGTCATGGGGGTCATGACCCCCCCTCTGGGCTGGATCCATCAGTACCGACTTCACAATCTGTACCCACTGTGACTTGATCACGACTATATGACCAATCCCTGGCGCCAAAGCTGGATCCGCCCTTATAGAGGTAAGACCTTCGAAAATACTATGTTTCATAGAAAAAAAGTTGGCAACCCTAGCTAGATACAAGCCCAGTCCTAGCCTGTGCAGTCTTGTCAACGTCAACATACTAAAGATACATTTAAACAACAAGCAACCCAAAACAACACCAGTTGAAATCTTTAGTGTTTATCGTTCACTACTAAAAGTAAAAACACCAGTGTATGTACACATACAAGAGAATATATAACACTGAAAGTGGTAAAGTGTTAATTATAAAATTTTTCGAAGTAGCTTGTGAAATGACTTTTTCAACAGGTGAGTTAAGCATTTTAGTTTATTATTGTTAAAAATTCTGATTAATACAATAAAAAAAAGACATTCAAAAGCTTCACGGTAGATTTATTTGTAAAATCAAATTAAATTTTGGAATAATTAAACTAATAGAACAGCATTGATGCATCCATCATTTTCTGGGTTGTTGGTGACTTGAGCGTATTTGCCCCACACAACTTTACCGGCCTGTGTCACTAGACCCAACTCTGAAATGTTTACTTCGATCACTGTACCCTTAGTTATCACTCCAAGACTCGTGTACATTTGTGAGCTAGGGTTCTTTTTAACACCAATGATTGGGAGACAGAAGGTCGCTTTCAACTCGGGATGTGTAACATGTGCCTTCTTGAAACGCAAAGCCATCGGTCTTATGAACCTTTCAAACTTAGGTGGTTTACGTGTGAAGTTCTCTCCTACGTAAGTCACTTTGGTGACCATTCGTTTCCAGGCTTTCCTCTTTGATTTGCCAGACTTTAGCACTCTGAATACCTCAGCATCGGCCTGAGCCCTCACTTTGGGGATCGGTACATCCCACTTTCCAGCTTTCTCCTTGCGTTTTTGTTTGATCATATTGGACAAAACTTTTGCACGGGATTGCACATCTCTGTCGAGTAGATACACAGGCAAAGCACCCTCGGCAACCTTTTCTGTGTTTTCTTTGACATTTTTCTCTTCGTGCGCTTTGATCTTCTTTTTCATCTGAATTTTTTCATTGCGACGCTCTTTATTGTATATCTTAGCCTTGATACCTCGCAGTTTGCGGGCCTTCTCTGCTCTCTTGTGAGGTTCGCGCGCCTCTCGCTTCCTCTTTCTCTCCTCATAGTCGAGTCTCCTACCGTAAAGCTTTTGATGACGTTCAATATATTCGTTCTGCGGCATTGCGGTTGCTTATTCGGCAACTACAACAAAATTAGGTACCACTTGTCAATGTATCACCAAGTATGCTTCTTCAATCTAACCTCTTCGCTGTGCCACATGCACTCATAGGTATTTTAATTCTTCAATGACAATTCTCACCACAATTTAATCTCTTTTCAAAATGTATTAGATCTGTAGCTATATTGAATTCTAATATTTTCGTAATGTTGTGAAATCCACGTGTGATTATGTTTTTTTCGAAACAACTCATTCCACAGGCTAAATCGATCAAATAACTTAACGTTCGAAATCAAACGATTTATTTAGTAAATAATGTAAGAAATTGGGCGTTATTAGACACAAATTTCAGATTTAAATCATAAATTTGGGAAACTCACCTTACGCCGACACCATGCCACAAGGAAAAGGAAACAGTTGTTTTTTTAATAGGACACAAAAGTTGCCATAATATTGTTTCCCATGATTTTGCTAAGTCAAATAGTAGAAAAAATTATTTGATATTATTTAGCGTTTTTTGCGTGTGATAGATATATTTTTAATGAATGGTGTGCATACTTAATCTCAATGCTATGCGATATGCGTTTACTGAGGAACAACTAAATAAACAATTTCGACAATATGTCACATTAAAAGGATTATGTCAATGAAAACGATCAAAAAAATAATAAATTATGTGTTTAACCACCTAGATAAGACAAAATATAGGATATTACAAAATCAAGATATTCTATTTATATTTTAAATCAATCGCACACAACAACGTAAAATAAAAGGTAGAAATTCATAGTGATGTGACGAAAAATGAATGAACGGTATATTTAATACTGAAAAACATTCAACCAGATTTAATAAAGTGCAACTACCGATACAAATAGCAAGTTCATACAACAAATATATTAAAGTTCATACAATAAACACAACAAATACATATTTTATAAAAAAAAACATTCAATCATTCACGATCTATAACTTAACCAAACAAAGGTTATTTATTCATGATTGATTTTCTAAGCTTAAAACTAAATTGGTCTCTCATTTTCATTCTGTATAAAGGATGACAAGGATACACTGTTGTCAAAATTTTAAGCTTTAGAGAATTATGCCAGGATCGACACCATCATTCACTTACTATTTTCTATTTTGTTTGTTTGTTTTTTGGCAATATATTGATGCAATCAGCGTATAGGTAGAAGAAAGTAAATCAAGTTATGTAGTTAGTTAGTCTAACCTGAATCAGCTGCAAACACAAGTCAAAAACTTACCTTTTAATTAAATTCCACAACCAGTATACGCCTAACTTTAACACCATTTTGCATAAAATAAATATCATCTTGCACTAGCATATCACAAGAATTGATCAAAATCATTTGTAGTTAGCATAAATAGGACATCAATCCGGTAGAATATCGCCATATTGTTTATTGGTAGCATCGCAAGTGCTCTCATGCGTAAATACAAGTTACTGCCAATAACTACGATTTTAAACAATTTTATTAAACAAGTTATCAGTTTTAATGAAAATATACACGTTTTTGGTTGCATTGATATCAACTAACTGCAAACAAACATAAATGCTAAATTAACTATCTAACTATACGTTCTTTCTTGTTCTTATAAATAGTTATCGGGATAATGTGAAAACTACCATTTGATTATTTTTTTTAACACTGTCAATTGCTAGAGAGGGACAAATTCCACTTTCGTCGTTATCCTACTCGGAGTATTTTTCCCTCCAATGAAGATATAAACAAAAAAGGACTTTATGTATAACTAGTTACGAGTACGTTTTTTGAATTCTCATATTGTTTCGTAAGCATTCCAGATAGAATATAAGTTCTTGGTATAAGGCATGAAATTTGGAAATAAAAGAAGGCTAATTGCAGTTTAATAATAATAATTAAAAGCCATAGAATTTGGAAAGCAAAGAAGGCTAATTGCAGTTTAATTATTAACATTAAATAAACTGAAATATAGAGGTTCAAGCTGGCAACATCAATACGTTCCTCGTTCCTCCAAAAACGGAAAAAAAAATATGCTACGTTCCAAATCTATACCTTGAGTGCAACTTAAAGGCATTTTTTGACCATGACACGTTTCAATTTCAATATGTTTAGTATAATTTAATAACTGGAACTTAAAATAAGTAAAAATTTGAAATTGTTGTTTTTGAACGTAGCCATAAATGCCAGACTGTCATCCACGCTGGAGGCTTCGGTTGACGCTCATTGGCTGTTTGTGTTTTTTGTGTAAAATTCACGGTCTTATTATTGGCGGATATACTAAACTATCTTGAGCGCCGAGTGTGGCTATTGGATAGTGATTTATTCAGTGAACGAAATTTTTATTCTAACCAATCCCAGATAAAGAAATTAATTACATTTTCGTTCGACAATTCAATTCAAGCTTTTCCTGTTCGTTCGAGTCGAGTTCAACCAAACCGAATCGAACAAAAACTGCTAGATAAAAATACACATTAGTAAGGTTTGGTTGGTTAGCATTTATTATCAAGTGCAACAAATACAGGACTGACGCTCGTGATTAAATTGTATTATGAACACAACAGCAACATATCTATCCGGTATGTTAATATATTTTTTTTACATGCAAATAGAATAGCATGAGTAGTATCAATCAAGTACGCTGCAAGCGTACCTACTTGTACGTTACGTTTTAAGTAAATCAAGGTCATCTGTTAAAGTATGTAGAATACTATTCCGACATATATCGGATGTAGGTACTTAATTAATTAAATGTAGTGTAGCCGAGTTTGAGTTGTGGGCTTAGTGTTTGAATGAATTAAAAGCAAAACAATATCATATAAATAAGTGTATGGTTCATTGTTTTATAGGTTATGTTTAGTGTTTACATTTTATGAATGAAAAAGTGGATTGATTATTTATAATACATACAGATGAACTTATATTAGTCTGTGAACTAGTTTTTGTTTGTATTTTTTTATCCTTGTTTTTAAGCATTTTCCCATAGAAAATGCTTTTTCCTAAAGCATTAAGCTAGATTAAGTTTTGGCTGAATCTAACATGTTTCCAAAGCTAAATAAATTAGGTTGCCCATTGCCTACAACAGTTTTGTCAATACTGTATCCACTATCTTGTGGAGATGCAGTATTAGGGTAGGACTGTTTTGAAAAGAAAAAACTTCACTTAGTCACAGGTATCAGGCTGGAATCAAAATCAACCCTTTGGTTGTGCTGCAGGAGCCATAATAGATTTGTTGAGTTTCCTCTAGTAATTTTCAAGCAGCATTTCTTTGTATATAGTAGGGACCATATTTACTTCCTATCATATTCTTTAAAGAAATGAAGACAGGAAATAATTATGGAAAGTTTTGTAATCAAGGTTTTTTTAATTGATTTAGATTTTTCTAAGTTAATAGGTATTTTTAGTTTTTCCATATAATAGGTAGGTAGGCATTTGTATTGCTAGAAAACCTCTAAGTGTTTTGAACCTAGTTAACAACTATGTAACACCATCTGTAAACTTTTTTACATTAGAAAGAAAAATCTGGTTTCTATGGTAATCACTAAATTGTTTAATTAAATGTAATATTTTTATAATTTATTTAGCGTTTCCTGCTTACATAATAGGTAACATTCATTACTATTTCAGTTTCATTAACATTCAAATATAAAATGATTACAAACTATTAAAAATAATATTAGTTATTATTCTCTATCCATCCACTGAAACTTCTGATGTAGCTTCTCACGAGACAAAGACCTCTAATGATTGCTACTTTTGAACGTCTCTTCCAGCCTGCATCCAATTTCTGCTTGTCACCCTTCGCAGATCATCCTCCCGTCTCCTGTATGGTCTACCTCTAGATCAGTGTCGCGGCCCTTGGGTACCATTCTGCTACCCAAGGGCCGCGTACCGCGTTTTCCTGTACAATTTGCCTGACATATTATTATCTCCGCTTCAGTCCTTTATGTAGTTATAACATAAAACAAACTAATAAAGTTTCTTATTGTTGAAAAGAAAAAAATTGAATTTTAGGTAATTGGGAGATTTTCTTTCATACTTACCCAATCTCTTAATTTCTTTGTTATTTATAATTAATCAGCTACATGTCTAGTCTGGGGCTCTTTAACTCCAACTTGAAGGAAACCATTGCAAATTTCGAGTTTGAAAATCTTTGACTTATCAAGAATGTGAGAAGTTTTTAAACTGGAAATTTCGACTTGAAGAGTCATATGTTCTATGTAAACAGTAAAACAAGTAATCCAATTAAGCATATAAACAATTGGTGGTGTGTAGTCCCTGGATTTGTTGTTCAAGTTTTCACCAGGCTGGAATCAAAGTAGAACCTTTTGGTTGTGCTACAGGGGCCATAATAGATTTGAACTGAACTTGATATGTATGATAACTACTTCATCGGAAAATCTATCGTCATAGGGAAATTTATTTATTACAGAAACATGGAGCCGACGTTGCTCCACAGAGACCGTGTTCAGTGTGCAAGGAAAAGAAACAGGTATGTGACCATAGTTTGTGATGGAAAGGAGATTTTTTTTTTGTTTGTGTGCAGTCAGTTTTTTGGAGTGGGGTGACCATATTTTTGTGTCTTATTTATTATAATATCTTTTATTTATTATTATATAAAAAATATGTATGTACAAAAGTGTTATACATTATAACAGCATTACATAGTATATTTATGCATGCTATTAACTAGGGATTCAACGATACCGATACGATAATCGTATATTTGTGGTTATCTTAAGTTTTTACGAGCATTTGTTATAGTAAACAGCATGATACGATTCATTATTTTCCAATTTTTTTGCATTTTTACAGTAGTTACTTAGTAGTAGCCGTATCGTTGCATCCCTACTATAAACTACCAGTACTTATTACTATGGAAATAAAAATACATTTTGTTCAGCTGTAAGAATGCTACGAGTTATTTTAGAATATTAAACAAAACACCTTGGAGTCAGTTCAGTTAATTATTATTCTGTATAATTTTCCTCTCCATCTTGCATCCGAAACAAGAACAAGAATACGTTGCTGCTATGTAGTTGCCCTGATAGTTCTAACTTGATCTTTAATTTTCTGTAAACAAAATTATAATATTTTATTTTAATTACTTATAGTTTGCTTCTTAGGTTTTGACCTTATACACAAACTCTACTACGGGCCGATTTTTTAAAACTCAACTGTTCTATAAATTAATAGTCCAATCAAATAGAGAAACATGTCCTCCGTCACATTACACCAATTTACACTAGTTAACTCTTTATTTTGTCTGTATAATACGATATCAGACATATTTTATCTACTGTTTGGGGCCGTTCAAGTATTACGTAAGCACGTTTATTACAATTATTTACCCCCTCCTCCCCCTTGTCAGCAAAAGTAAGCAAAGCTCTTACCCCTTCCCCCCTATCCTTACGTAAACATTGGTACCTATATGCATTTTTCCTTAAATGTATTCTGTTTTTTTATTGATTCATGAGCTTCATGACCAGCAGTACTTAAAAAGGCTTAATCGATGATGCTGACGTAATCACCATCTCTACCCCCCACCCCCCCAAGTCATCAAAAATAAGCAAAGCAGAGACTCCCCTGCTCCACTATAGTGCTTACGTAATACTTGAACAGCCCCTTTGAGAAATCAGCCATCTACTAGTATAATTAAGTAATAATTTTCATTTAAGAATAATTATTCAGTTTCTATAATATTATGTATAAAAACACTCGTGATATAATATTTGTTAACTTTTTTATTACCTAATTTATTTTAAGCTACAAAAATATAAATGGTGTCCGTTATTTTCCTTATTTATGGATAACTTGAATACACGACACTCATTATCTAATATCACGAATGACGCGGCTGCGGCGTGTCATCGCACGCGCATTGTTCATAGTGCGGTCACGTGACTCAGTTCAGGTCACAAGTACACTCGCGCCTTGCAATGCACAGACTTGTTCTAACATGTTTTCACTCATTGCATATCTAGGTATATTTGGCTTTTTCATACGTCATGCTAAGTGGCGTACGATAATTTAGAATTATCAACATAAAATATGATTATCTATCTATAATAGTCTGTTTCAAACGAATTTAGACCAAAAGTAATCGAACAGATAAGACATAGATCGTAGACAGTTTAGTGTTGGGGATTCATAGAGCCCTATCATAATCAATTGCACAATTGAACGATCATATTCTTAGAAATTGTTAAAAATCTATGAGGCTTAATTTTTAACATTAATATTTTTTTATTGTTATTACTTTAAAACGAGCTCTGGTTGTTATCTGTATTTGGCAATATAGTTAACTATATTTCGTTACTTAATTAAACTCTTTTTGAACGATTGGTTTGCGTGATTTATTAAATATTATGTTCTTCGGCTAGCGAGCCCGCAGCATTATCCTGTTGAACGTACTGCATTCAGTCTAGTTACAGTATAACGCCGATTACCCGAATCGCCAATTATCCGAATTAGTCCTAAGCGTAATATAAAAAAATAAATCTGGTCTTAACAAGTTGGAACTCGCTGGAGTCCAGATATATTTCATCTGTTATGGTTGAAAGCTAGAGGCAAGACACTACATGCTTTGCGTCACGCGGTTTTTTTTCCTACTAGGCACATCTGTTATTGTATTAAGTATTGTAGAACTGTGTTTGTTAAAGCTATTAACGGGATTGTTACCATGTACCTTGTTTTTTATGAGGCTCCGATATTTCGGCACTGTTGCAAGCGCCATGATCACAGACTAACTGAAGTAATTGCGGGTAGATGTTATTGCCAGACATATCGGTCTATCCTCTGACGTCTTCTTTTACTGCGCTCGATATCCCTACCATTGATCACATTCTCACTATTCACTCGCACCTGTTACACTATACTCACAGTATCGGATCGCGGAACGTAGGTTTTGATTCCCGTGCGAGTTTTGCTTTGCGGCATAAACGGCTGTATCTTTTGATAGCTTTGGCTTAGAAGTTTGATTTTATCACAGCTCCAAGGGCCAGTAGACCAGAGTATTAGATATGAATTTCAGTTGGATACCACCACGCGTTCCTGAGAAAAACGGTCTTTACAGAAGGACGGACGGACAACAAAGTGATCCTATAATGGTTCCGTTTTTTCCTTTTGAGATACGGAACCCTAAAAAGAAATTAGTTGTATAAAAGATAGTGAATTAATACATCAAATCCCTAGGAATGCAAATTAATGTGTTGAGAAATCCATTTAGTGATTCATTGCGAGGGAATTGAGGGGTAAAGTGTTTCTTTACCTTTGGTCTAAATTCATTTGGAACAGATTATACATAATTAGCTTTGTGATCTTTATGACTATTGACTGATGATTTGATTGCTTAAACAACGACAGGGATTTGGGATTCAGATTTTCTTAAATAAATAATCTACATCTTTAACGAGTTAATGCTTCTAACTGGTCTACACTAATCGAATCTTAGAATCCATTTCTATTATTCCACATCAGCAGTTTTATTGTTTTAAATATTCATCTCTCACAAGTAGGGTTGCCAACCCACCTATATGTAAATATAGTGATGTCGATTCTGGCAGGATTCTCTAAAGCTAAACTTAAATTTGACAACAGTGTTTCCTTGTCATTATCTATACAGAATGAGAAGGAGAGACTGATGTTAAATTTAGTTTTAAGTTTAGACAATCAAGCTAGACTCGACACAAATATCCTACTATATTAGGAGATCAAATACTATATTTCTAAAAAAATATATTGTAGGCGAAATGACTATATTTTGCTTAAAGCAGATTTTAGCCAGTAAAGTTTTTCTTAAAATAAAAACAGAAGTATTTAGGTATAGAGCAGCAAAATAGGGGTGACGACGACGGGGTAAAGTAAACGAAATTCTTTTTAGTCCATCACTTGATCAAAAAATAATGGACACGTATTTTTTCTTTGGGCAATCAACCAAAAATGACAAAGATAAAGCGTGTCAAACTTTGGGAGTAGGGGCTCGTGACGTCACTTGAAAATTGTACCAACACGTGACGTCATGCAACTTTTCAAATCAATATATCTGTGCAATGTTTAAATTTAGTTAAAAAGAAAAAAAATTGATAATTAACGAAGACAAAAAATTAGCCGTCATCCCTATTATACTCATTTCAAAAATAAAGTAAATATTTTAACAACATTCTATATTTTTTCCATTTTTTTTGTCATTTACTATATTTTTAGAGGTTAACGTTAAAGTTTCGAAAACACTATATTTGATAGACAAAAAGTTGGTAACCCTACTCACAAGAGTCCTTCTTAGAAAACTCATTCAAATATTTTCGTTGGGGAAACCCCAGTTAATCCGTTTACCTTTCTTATGGTCTGTCAATCCCTGAGTACCGTCACGTCATCCGAGGCAGAGAAACATGTCGCAACCTGAAAGGTACTGCAAAGGATAGTAGGTATTTAGATTCCTCAACAACCAAATCGGTTTTAATGACTAGCCCCAAATGTAAATGAGTCATTGTAATCATGACATCAGCAATATTTTTGTACCTATTGCATTTTACATGTTCAATTTTGGATAATTTAGGTAGGTATACATTATTATATATTTTTTTTAAATAACATCAATCCAGTATCTGTTTATTCATCATTATTTATAACTAAAATTAGTAGAAGTTCCTTAAATGCTACCAAGTCCAGTTTTTATTTTTACCATCTAAATTATTAATGATTTTTTTTCTAGAAAAGACCCCACGCGGAACAGGCATCAGACGGCACTCGGTTAGCGAAGGGTGCCCTGCTGCCTGTTCCGCGTGGATTTTTTTGTAGTGCCAATTGACCGAATTACCTAAGCATTATTTAAAAATTAAACCCAAGTTATTTTTGTTTTCTCGTAACAAGTCTGAACTCGCTGGAGTCCAGATATATTTCAACTGTTATGGTTGAAAGCTAGAGGCAAGACAGTACATGTTTTGTGTGGCGTGGTTTTTTTGTTACTATGTATATAATACTAAATACAATAATAGAGGTACTTCTATTACTGTATTTAGTATTATAGAACTGTGTTTGTTAAACTCATAAGGTTTATTCATGTGTGACAGTTCGTTTTTCTTTATTACTTCTTTATAGCTCCAGTTCACACATAAAAAAGATGTACCAGCGGCTGGTAATAAAGAAAAACCAACTGTCTGGTAACCAGCCTATGTACGATTATCCGAATCGACCCCGGTTCCAATTAATTCCGATAATCGACGTTCTACTGAATAATTTTCTTTAGATTTAAACTTGTAGCAGCTACATGCTTAAAAATTACAAATAAGTATATCTAAATCTAAAGAAAATATAACTAGAAAAAAAAAAAAAAAAAAAAATCGTCTGCTGCCTGGTCTGCGTGGAATTTTTTCTAGTTATATTTTCTTTAGATTTAAACATCAAGCAGTTACATGCTTTAAAAATAATAAAAATTATAAGTATATCTAATTTACTGATGACTACTTACCTTAATTATCAATTTTGAATAATAATATTCACGTTTTGTTTATATTGTTTTACTGAATTTATAGCAATTGATATTTCAAAAATGCTTAATATTATGGACTATCCGTACTATAAAACTTTTTTTATTTACTTACACATTGGTCAATTGGTACATTTGGCCTTCTGCTACAAAGATTTTGGGTTTGAATCCCAGTAGAACATTTATTTCGGATTCATTAATACTTATCATATCTGTTAATTAGGGCTTACTTTTAAATTTTATAATTAAATCTATTTGGTGTGACGAATAGGTATTCGTAGAAATAATCTATGTATTAGTCACAATACATAAATTATTTCTATAACATCGAATGTATTGCACAATTTAATACTTTTTGTGTGTAGTATAAATCATGCTTCTATGATATTTCTGAGTCGAGCAGTAGCAGTAGTTTTATGGTCTAATTTAGTAAAAATATTCTGCAGTACCTCTAATTACTCTTGCCACGAAAAATTCATTAAAATAAGCATAAAAAACTACAACTACAAAATAAGCATAAAAAATTACCAATTTTAAATAGCTCCAGTTCACACATAAAAAAGAGGTTTTCATTATTCAAATAATACTCTATGAAGAGATTTTCTGTCATTCATTACAGATTTTATTTTACAAAGTTTATACGTATTTATTATTATTTTTATTATAATATTTATAGAATTATGTTCAATTCAATTGATTTATTTATCTCTTTAAGTCACAATGACAGTATGAAAGGACTAATAGTTTTGATGGTACAATTGTCAGTTTCCTGTGAGTGCATCACACCCTGGTGGCTCCACGACCCCGGGGTGAGGTGAGCCTTGAGGACGGACCCTGGATACAACCGCTGTCTACCTTAGTCTCCTATACATAGGAAACTATCTATACTAGGACTAAATATATAGTTGTAGTGTTTTATAATTGGTGTTTAAAATTAATACCTAGTATTTTAGTTATTGTTAAGTTAGTTAAAGTTGCACCAATTATGCGAAAATATGAAAGACATTTTGATGTATAACATTCATTCGTCAGGTCTTAAAATAATAGTCGACATGCGGTGTATTCCGTAATATATACCAGTATACTGGCCAGTGCTAATGACGTCATAAATCGACGAAATAATAAAACAAGTGCGAATAAAGAAGATTTTTTATTCACCTCATCAATTAAAAGGAATTCTTTTTGTACGGATGCCATTATTGTTCTTTAAATAAAAAAGAAATAAAATTCGAATGCATCTCACGCACGCTCGGTCATACGTCATATTCGTTTTCCCGGTAAAAATATGGTAGCATACCAGTACAATATGGCGTCGGATTCGTGACGTCATTACCACTGGCCAGTATACTGATGTATATTTCGGAATACATCCATGTTAAATAATGATACTGGGCGCTACCTGAAAACGCATTGCTGCATAGCTTTCATTCATTCAGCATTCAACTCGGTACGGTAATTAAAATTATAATAATTAACATAAAGGTATCCTCCTTAGTGAAATTTTCGGATACCCAAAATATAGCAATCGGTAAAACTAAGAATTATAATATAATGGGCAGTGATATGTAATATTTTGCCATTATAAAAAAAAACATTTTAATGTTTATTCATGTTTTTGCAAAATTGAGAGTATCGAATAATTTAGAATTAGTTATTTTAGATTAGTTTCATCATTTCATTGTTGCTTATAAGTGGCAACAGGCTGCCGGAATATTATTTTAATTGGATTTGTAGTGTCAGTGGCAAATACTTCGGGTTCGCAGATCATCAAAGATGTGATTGCATGAAGTACACTCCCGGACACATCTTTAGGGCCACTTAGGCCCGTATTATAGAAAGATTCTCAGTGATTGATCTAGTCTTAAGCATAGTTAGAAAGGGATGTCGCTATTTAAAGCACATAGCGATATCCCTTTCTAACTGTACTCAATTAAAGATCAACACTTAGTTGTCATTCTGTAATACGAACTTTAGTGTTAGAAGTTAACGATCTATATCAAAACTATATGTTAGCAATAATAATATATGTATTTTTAAAAACATACGTAAAATGAGGTTTGTAAATCAGTTTAAAACTGCGTGAAAATGTTGTGCTCAATGTAACATCGTTAGATAGGGATCGTCAAAACTTAAAAATGCTAAGTGGCCCGATAGATGTGTCTACGAGTATAAATATAAAATTATATGTTTAACTCACACCTTAGTGACGCTAGGTTAAAATACCAATATATCGCACCTCCGGTGCGACACTGTCACTTATGCAAAATCATTTTTTTTTTCAGGATGAGCGTTTAAAACTTTAACATCCCAAAACATACAATATTTAAAGATTTTTAAGTGATGAAAAGCTTATACTACTTAGCTATTCATCTAAAAAAAATTTAAAAAAAAACTATAAATATTGTATGTTTTGAGATGTTAAAGTTTTAAACGCTTGTCCTGAAAAAAATATTTTTTTGCATAAGTGACCTACATATATTAAAATTATGTTTTGGCACCGTTTCATGATAAATCCATTTGTTTATTGGTTAAAACTGTGCAGATGCAGATATGTCTATAAATTAGTTATGAATTCATATTGTACCTATATTCAAAATGTAAATGATTGTCTTAGGGTTAATTTTCGAAGCAACGGGGAAGAACCTATTTAAAAAATAGTTACCTTGGGGCATTTGATTCTTGATTAGAAGGTACAGTAATTTTTAATATGGGTCTATTCTTCTTTCAGTTACAATTATAGGCTTCATCTTCAACAGGCAAACTTCGTAAATGTAACTGACTACCTCAGTTAAACTCAAATGCTTGCTTATATTTATAAAACTTTAAAATCATCTATATTATAATGCAAATCAAATATATACATTTCATATGGACCTCATTCTCTTTCCATACATTGCTTTTCAACTGTTATGGACATCATTTAGTGTATAAAAAAAAAACCAATAAAGATTTAAATATAGGCTTAAACCCTGGTTAATTAACCCTAAGACTTCATTGTTATTGGCTAATAGGTAATATGCATGAATTTAAAAAAAAAATATTTGTTAGTTTACACCCCCTCTATATATAAAAAACAACGTCGAAATTATATAAAGTGGTTAAAAAATGATAAAAATAGGGCAGTCAATGCACGGGCAATTAAACGCGCTCTTTTTTGCCACGCTTAGATGTGACGTCACGATACATATAAACTACAAACAAGATCAATGACCTTACAAGATACTAACATTTTTGTATACCATACCTCAGTGTGTGACGTCACACGACTGTTATTAAAACGTCAAATGATACAAAGAAATGTCACTTTAACCGGAAGTTTACTTGCGTGTGACGTCTTTTGAGGCTTTGCCAATCCCTAGCGTTTTGGGTCACGTGACAATAGAAAAGAAAACTTCTCTTTTTCGTGGGTTTTTAGTAACATTATGAATATTTTTTTTGTAAAAATAGTAAAAACCCTCCTTTGCGGATGGAAGTTGGAAACTACGTAAGGAATGAAGAAATTTAGCAAAACATTTAAACCCGGGATTTTCGGGACTTTCGGAAAATATATACCTTACAGTAGGTATATATTTTTAGGTATGGAGTTCCAAATATTTATATTGACCACAAGTTTTTCGCACTTTAATATATTGCTCGAAGCGAAATCTTATTAATAAATGTTAATGGAGGGACAACTTAAAGTAATAGAGTTTATATGAAAATAAAATTAGTTTTATTTGAATTATATGCATATTCCCTATTAGTTAATTGTAAAAAAATCCACCTACCAAATTTTTATCAGACTTGCTAGTATGTTCAAAAAGTATATTTAAATTTTCAATTTCAATTTATTTATTTCGACCAAACTAGGATCATAATAATTCTATTAATTGGCTCTTTTAATATCAATTTACAAAAAAAAAGGTATTTTATACTTTTTGAATTATACAGTATGGCATGTTTTAATAAAAATTGTTCTATTGTTTTTTATGCACGTTTAGAGATTTGCATTAATGAATTGGAAGCAAAAGTACCATGTAATTATGTTATTATATTTACAATTTGGCAGTGAAAAAAAAAACAAAACTTAATTTAAAAAGAAAAGGCTGAAAAATATTACATTAAAAAAACAAAGTGAACATTAATTGCTATTATAAAAAATATGAAAAAAAAAACAATAAAAAAATGAAATTGCAGATATTAGTGAACAATGCAGAAAAAAAAGAACAGAAAAAAAGGAAAATTTGGTGGAAAAAAAAATACAGAAGTTATATTAACTTTTTCGAGTGGTGGACGTTTGAGGGTGAGGGCGTGAGTTGTGTCTCTAACGTGCGTGGTATTTGTAGATTTTGTGCAAGACTCGAGTGACACAGAAATGGGCAGTGACGCGGACAAAGATGTGGAGTACGAGCCGGTCACGGAGTCCGAGGGGGAGGCGCCCATATCCACTGACTCATCAGGAGAAACTGACGTACGTCGTAAACCATGTTATCGTAATATACTCATCATAAAGTCTTAAGCAACATTTTTTATGTTTTTATTATTTTAAAGCATGTAACTGCTTGATGTTTAAATCTAAAGAAAGTATAACTGTTTAATACTTGTAAAAGTATTCATTTGACATTGTGGGTTACCTATAACGCGAAGAGATAGCGCTGCCTTGCAGCTTAAGAATGGCTAGAAGAATTTCGACGCGGTTCGTAAGGGCCGCGGTATCATAATTGGTCAGTGCATTCGCCCGGATTGCGAAGGGTGCGGGTTCGAGTCCCGTCTGCTGCCTGGTCCGCGTGGAATTTTTTCTAGTTATATTTTCTTTAATACTTATATGTTTTTTTTACTTAAAACATGAAACTGCTAGACTTAAAAAATATATATATCAGACAGTCTGGTATCTGTCCTGAGTGGATTTTCTTCTAGTATATTTTTCTCGTTGTTTAGAATGAGGTGAAGACCGCATGGGGTGGCACAGACGAGGCGGGTTATAAAGGGGAGGAATTACAACTGGCAGATTCCGAGGCAGGCTCCTACGTTTCGGATAGCGAGCTGGACCTGCACGCGTATTGGACGTGTGCACGATGCCGTAGCGTTAATGACAACACGCGGTATCGATACTGCACAAAGTGCTTTAAGGTGAGGACTTGTAGGTTTTTTGCAGGTTTTCATCGTAAGTGCTGCCGAGGAATTGTTTCAGTTGACACCCACGGCACCATGATCGGAGTCGAGATCACTCTTTCTTGGAGACACTGTAGTCCCCAACTGTTCGTTTCCAGAGATCTTTTCTTCCGCACACAATAAAGGTATGAGCTCCCCTCCACGGCTGTATCACTGGCATTGCTAATGCCCGTCTGCCTTCGAACGCAATAAAAAAGGTGGAACGGCGAATGAATCATTTTGAGTGTGGACACCTGAGTGTCTGGGACGGAATCCAAACTCCTCATCCGTAATGATGAAGTTAGTGAAGAAGCTACGAAGGACTACATCGAAACCTTGGTCAAAACAGCTTCACGCATACTCGGAGTCCTGAATAAGGTGCGGCGTTTTTTCACGCCCGATCAACTGTGCTTGTTGTACAAAACGCAAGTGGGGTCCTGCGTGGAATATTGCTCCCACCCCTGGGATAGCTCCGCTAAGTACTTACTCGATGCCTTGGATAGGTTGCAGAGGCGCGCTGCCCGCATCATTGGCGATAAAGAGGTAACTAAGAAACTCGAGTCTCTACAATTACGCCGTGATGTGGCATCATTAAGCGCATTCTACCGACTATACCACGGCGAGTGTTCTGAGGAGCTATTCTCGCTTATCCCTCCATCACCTTTTCTTCAGAGGATAACGCGCGCTGGCCTACTTTGCCACCGACTTACTGTGGCCACTATTCCTACACGAACAAAGTTTGGTGACTCATTTCTTTGTTGTACTATTCGTAAGTGGAATTCTTTACACGCGCACGTGTTCCCTCCTTCTATAATCTGGGGTCCTTAAAGAGAGGCGTGAAGAAGCATTTTTGCAGGCCGGCAAGGTGAGGATGGTTGGTGTAGCAGTTTATAACTGCTGTACCAGCTGTCTTCGCGTTTGGACTTTATCACCACTTAACTTCAGGTGGGGTAGAGTCATTTGCCTACCTCGCTATATAAAAAAAGCTCTCTTGTAGATTTGCCCCAGCGATTAGAGGAGCTAGAGGGTAAGGTTAGCTACGGCCTCCTCCCCCTCCCTCTCTTCCCTCTTAAGGGAAAAGGGGGGCAACTGGTGGATTCCGAGGCAGGCTTGGTGTTCTAAGGTGAGGACTCTTTTACAGGAGGTGCAGGAATAACGCGCTACAAATGCTGCAGCAAGTGCTTCAAGGTTTTACAGGTGGACTGATGAATAAATAATAAATAAATCTTTCCAACACTCACACCAATTAGCCTAGCCCCAAAGTAAGCACTGTAAGGCTTGTGTTATGAGATACTAGGGTAACGGATAGAATACATATACAGTACATATATAATTATATTTATATAGAAATACATATTAAACATCCATGACTGGAGTACAAATGCTCGTATTCATCACACAATCCCGGTGGGGGCAGACCCCCACCGGGATTCGAACCCGGGACCTCTCGAGTCGGCGATGCCATGAAACCCGGCGTACAAACCTCTCGACCACGGAGGTCGTCAATGAAGATGAATGAAAGATGATTTGATTGTTGTAGAACAGGTTAAGGTAATTCTTACACAGTTGACAGTCGTATGCATAATACAAATGCTTCCTATCTGTTATTTGTGATATTTATGTATTATCTCGTTTATTATGCATAGAAAAAATATAATAGGGGTGCTGACGGGGTACAGTAAACGAAATTCTATTTAGTCCGTCAGTTAGATGATCGGAAAATAATGGACACGTATTTTTTCTTTGGGCAATCAACCAAAAAATGACGAAGTTATAGCGCGTCAAAGTTTGGGAGTAGGGGCTCGTGACGTCACTTTTTAGTGAATATTCGCTTAAAAGTGTACTCAAACGTGACGTCATGCGACTTTTCAAATCGATATATCTCTGTAATGTTTATATTATGTGAAAAAAGAAAAAATACGTGTCCAACACTTTTTGATAATCTACCTGATAAACGAAGAAAAAAAAATAGTCATCATCCCTATTATGACTATAATATTTTTTAATCTCTTTTGTTGGCGTATGCCAACAATGCAATGATATTTTCTTATTTATATACTGATAAAGGTGTTTATTTATTAAGTGTTTAAATAATCACCTTTATCAGAATATTGTTTGATAAAAGAGCATTATCCACATGACATGGAGAGTTGGTCTATTTTTGGGAAGTGGCAACAAACAAATATGACTGCATAACCATCATAATCTTTATTGCTTCTGCTGCGACCAGCCATTTTTCCCTTTCAAAGCAGAGAAATACGAAATGATACACTTACCCTCAATTAGTACGAAAGCTTCGATCGATGCATCTTTAACTAATTATTCATCTCATTCAATCCTTATTTACATTGTTTTTAGGTACGAAAGAACTTCTTTCCGCCGCGGCCGAGAAGAAAGGACAAGCGATCGGCGGCTACCACCGACGCCCCGATCGTATTATCCCAGGATTCAGGAGTGGATTCCCACTTTAGCCAGGAAGCGAAACTCAGCCAAGACTTAGCAGAAGGCCCGTCGAAAGAGACCACTACCACAGACGGGTCAGGTAAGGCCACCAAACGACGCGCCGCTTCCGCCGAACGTACATATAAACGGCCCCGACTCGAATCTGAGTCCGATGTCGAAACCAAATCCTGCGTCGAAGTAAGCCCCCTTATTAAGACCGCCAGTGACCCAGCCGTCACAATAGAGTCTTTGGAAGCGTACAAAGGCTACAAAACAGACTCCAAAGACTTGTGTATCATTTGCTTGTCGGAACCGAAAACCGGCGTTTTTGTTCACCGTCGCGTTGCACATATATGCTGCTGTTACAAGTGTTCGGTTAAAGTTTGGTCGAAAGCCAGGCGTTGCCCCATATGTAATTGCAAAGTTAGTAATGTTCTGAAAGCGGTGGTGATGTAAGGTCGTTCTGTGAGGCTTTTGAAAGATTTCAGGTGCGTTGTTTGAGGGAGTGAAGGAATGAAAGCGTGATCTACTGAAATAAACATCCGTCGTATCTTTTCGCGTATAAAAGTTGCAATTCGAGCAGCTTCCGTACGAAAATGACGAGAAAAACCTGACACCGTAACTGTGGTCACCATTCAGTGAGGGTGCGTTCAAGTATTACGTAACGCAAATTTTGAAGATTTATGCGTTACTGCGTTTTTGCGATTAATTAAAGAAATTATCAAACAAAAAACGATTAACTATCTTAATCAAAGCAATTAACAAAACAAAAAATATTAATAGCAATATATTTAAATTAAAGATACAAACTTAATTATCTTGAGTCCATGGACATTGAACCCATGTTCTATGTCCATGGACATTGAACATGGCCACTTTGTTCTCGTTTGGGTTGTTAATGGTGTCGATTCTAGCGTGATTCTCTAAACTTAAATCTAAATTTAACATCAATCTCTCCTTTTCATTCCGTATAGAGAATGACAAGGATACACTGTTGTCAAATTTAAGTTTAGGTTTAGAGAATCATGTCAGAATTGACACCAATGTTTTCGTAAAGTAATAGTTTGAAGTTCGTGTTTCAACACTTAGATTATAATAGATTTTGAAATGTGTTGTCACGAAATTTAGGACACCTCCCACCCTGTTGTCACACGATGTCACACTTCGTCGATCCCCTCCCTCCCCCTTGACGTAATTTATGGATGGCCGCCAACCGGAAAGTCGCTAAATTTTGTTATTGTTTTAATCGCGTTTGCGTTAGTAATTAATAATTAAAACAGTCGATTTGTAATTTAATAAACATTTACTTCAGTTTCAAATATATATATTAAATGAGCTCAAAGTCCTATTTAACTCTTTCCATAAGATTAGTAGAATGCAACATTTAATTGCGCCGTTTTCCTGACTTGGCTCTGTCATTTTTTGACTTTATCCACCATTGTACTTCTCATGCATTTACCTATTTTAGCTTTTTTTTAAACTTACAATCTTTTTCAATAAAATAACATGTTCACTTTAAACTTTGGTAAACCATAAACGAAAATGGTTGCCAACTTGGGAGATTTATATACGTTAGTTTTTTCTATTTAAATAAAAAACTATGTTACTTAGCGCATTAATCGAATGCCCCCCCCCCCCCCCCCCCCCCACCCGCAAATTGCGTTCCGTAATATTTGAACGCCCACCTGATTCGAAAATATCCGATATAACATTTATTTCTAAGGGTCTGTTTCACAATCGCCGAGTAAAGTTCTAAATAGGCTACTTAAGAGCTTATCTGCTCAGTAAACAAATAGGGATGTTGACAGGACAGTTTTGATTGATTTTAAACGCTTTTCCAAAAATTGACAACATCCTATTCTTTACTAAGCAGATTAGTTTAGTTAGAACTTTACTCAGCTATAGTGATGCAGGCCCTAAGTCAATTATACTTCGGTTATAATTTATTTTGAATTAGGTTTTAGGGTTCCGTACCTCAAAAGGAAAAAACGGAACCCTTATAGGATCACTTTGTTGTCCGTCTGTCCGTCCGTCCGTCTGTCAAGACCGTTTTTCTCAGGAACGCGTGGAGGTATCAAACTGAAATTCATACCTTATACTCAGGTCTACTGTCCCTTGGAGCTATGAAAAAATCAAACTTCTAAGCCAAAGCAATCAAAAGATACAGCCATTTATGCCGCAAATTTTCGAAACTCGCACGGGAATCAAAACCTACAGGGTACTTCCCGTGAACTTAGAATCTTGAAATTTGGTACGAAGTAACGTCTTATAGTACAGATAAAGGAAAAATTGCGAAAACCGTAAATTTTTAGTTACATCATAAAATAAAAAATATTTTTGAATATTTTTGTACGGAACCCTCGGTACGCGAGTCCGACTCGCACTTGGCCGGTTTTTTCTTTCTTTAGGTCAATAAAACGGGGTAAATCCGAGTAAACGGTATTTGGAAGCTTGAATTAACCGTTTTGAATTTAGTTTATATAACAAGTAGCCTAGAAATATCCAGATTTGTCCACACAAACATGGACGAATGGTGACCCCAGTGACTAAATTTTTTTAAAGTCACAGTGGTATCGATTCTGGGCAGGATTCTCTAAACCAGTTGTTCTTACTTAACCTGCAAGTGACGAGGGACCATTTGACAAAACATTTGCGACGGACGTACGAGATTTGCGCATCCCCCCCCCCCCCCCCGGGTTTTGTAAATCAATCTGAGTTCGTCCTTTTGTACTATTTTTGTCAAATGGCTTCGCGGATCACTTCGGGTGCTTCGAGGAACTATCGGTTAAGAACCACTGCTCCAAAGCTAAAACTTAATTTAACAACAGTGTATGTATCCTTGTAATTCTATATACCTAATGAAAAGACTGATGTTAAATTTGGTTAAAATTTTGAGAATCAAACCATAAACGACACCATAGTGTGTCATTGTAAATTCTATTAAATCACACTAGTCAAGACACATTGATATTAATTAATTAAAATACACCTGCAAATCAGATTTACCGATATGTTGTAGGTTATGTATGATGATAGTTGAAGTTAGCTAACGTGAATGATTTCTTAAACTTGTGATAAATTCGCCGGGATTTAAATTATAGTTAGGCATTACATTTAAGTGTTGAAAATTTTCATTTTGATGGTGTTTCGATAAAAATATTTATGTAATTGTTAGGATTAGGGTTGCCACCCGTACTTTATTATAAAGTACTAGCAAACCCAGCGAACTCCGTTTCGCCACCAGATAGCTTCGTTTTATGTAACATTTCGTTTTGTGATTAAAAGAAAACGATTTTTTTTTTAATTTTTCCTGAATTTTCTTTGCTATAAACCTCACGGAGCCCGAGACCTTTCCAACGAATGCAAAACCGTGGAAATCGGTTCGTGCGTTCTGGAGTTATAGCGTCAGGAAGGAAAACCCGACTTATTTTTATATAGTAGATCGTACGTTATTTCGGGTAATTGTACTCTATACTTTGTGCCAACAACAAAGTACGCGAAAATACTTTTTTAATGTGATTTAATTACTCAGGGATTTATTTTACACAAAATATACAATTTCTAGTAGCAACGTAAAATATATTTTTAAGTTTACTTAAAAAAATAGAGGAATAACAATGACTTTATTTTGGACACAATGTACTTTTATTTTCCACATTTAATGTCCAATGTACTTTATTTGGACAAAAAAAAAGGTGTCAACCCTAGTTAGGACTTACTTTTGCAAATTATTTCGTGAGTAGTTAGGACTTCCAGTAAGGTTTTAGATTTCAATAGATTTTCTTCTAAAAAAAGTTTAGACCTAGGTACTCAATTATCTAATTTTAAACTCTAGATTAAAGTTTTCATTTCAATACCCATTAAGTTTGATTCATCTGTGAACTTTGCGTTTCATTTTAATCACTCAGTAGATATAATAACGTTTTGTAAATGTTGTAAATAATGAACAGAGTTTAATATATGTGTTAGTTTTAAACCTAACATTTAATTTAGATAAAATTTCCGTACAAAATTAAACGCTTCCTTAATAAAAAAAAAAAAGTTTAATTTCATAATTAGTAGAAACAGAGAGTTGAAGATTCCATAAAACTCCTTAAAAATGTTGTAAATATATTTAGTATTGTAGTGTACTTGATTAGCTAAAAAAATAAAATAGTTTTTATTTTTACAATGGTAATGAAACAATCGTCATATTGTATTAGAAGAAAGATTCCTTTGGCAGCGTGGTGCTGTACGCGTATAACCTCGCAGTTGATGTTGATATTTTCTCTTGGAGAGAGTAGAACTTTGCTAGAAATTGATATACTTGAGACCAGTGTTTAAAAAGCTTTGTTATCGGTCACCAATTTGTTTGCACATACACACACACACACAGGGCCCGATTCACAGATTGGAAACGACAGTGTGAGTGGGGCCCCCCCTTTTCAAGGCCAATTTTGATTTGACCCCCCCCCCCCCCTGGTTGGTCGAAATCTCTTGTGGGGGCCCTGGGCCACGGCCCCGCCTGCGATCCCATAAATGCGGCCCTGTGCACATTCAAATATAAAAAAAAATGTGTGTGTCAGCTCCGACGCACGACTGGAGTTTACTTCTTAAGTTCTAACCAGACGCAAAAAGAGTTTATTTAACTTAAAAAAGATTGATACTGTACGAAAGGGTAAATTAACAAATTAATGAAAATAATATAAATATATATTTATTCATTTCTAATACATTTATTATAACTAATCGACGGAATATTTTACATTAAACTTTTTACAATACTCAATTTCAGATGTGCATAAATAAAGGTACGCTACGATACTGTGCTACGGTGTAGCACTACGGCTGCTACAGCGTAGACAGTAAAAACGTAACTAGGTCATTCATCGATAGATTTCACTCCTCACATTTTTCTCATACCGGGCCCCTTATATATGCGAATCGATTCTTAAGGAGTAAACTCCAAAACTGCATTACATATTTATCTATCCAGTCGCACAAAACCAGTAGGCCTATTTGCTAACAGCGTTTGATGGAAGCTATTTGAGGCTGTCAGCGCAAAAGTGGCCTAACGCTCAATTATTCATATTCTGATTGAACAGCTAAGGCCACCAATGAAGTTAAGGTTGAAAGAAAAAAATCAATGCAAAAGGAACGTTTGCAACGCCATCTATTGATGCCTGGTGAAACAAGAGAAAGGCCGATTTTGAATGAAATTTTAACACATTTTTATTTAATTGTAGAAGACGAATCAGAATATGAGGGTTAGGCTACTTTTGCGCTGACAGCCTCATTTAGTGTTGCACAGCTGCTTTATTATATCGCCACTAAGATTCTTGATCTGGAAAGCATCGATGGACATGCAATTTTCTCTTTAGTTACACATGACATTTACGTCAAAAAAATTTGACCTTTAAAACAAAACATCACTAGATCTTAATTATCTGAATAATTTAATAGATATAGAGTCAATA